GTCTGGGTGCCTCTACTGAAGCTGCTACCCCCGCGACCCGAACCCCGGACAAGCGGCAGATGATGGATGGATGGATGGTGTACTTGTTTGAACTTAAGTTTGATATTATTGATATTATAATGCATTACTTTTAAGGATTGAATTTTAGGTGAAGTTGAGTGGTTAAGTGTTTGAATGGTTAATCAACATTACGACATATATACCAAGTGTGATTGCCTTGTAAACAAACAAAAAAAAATATTTACATTTATATATGGATTGTGATTCTAACTAAAAATACTGTGATATGTAGGGCTACACGAAATCACATTACAATGTAATTGCGATTATATGACACTATAATTACCAGGGCTTCAGATGATGGGCGTGAACATTTGTCCAGATGCCATCTTTTCAGTACTATAAGGACGTTTACTTGTGCCCACAATTTAAGCAGATTAGTAATACCCCTAAAATATTAATGAGATGCGTATTGTGACACCCAAAAGTTAGTCATCTGAATTAATTCAGCATATCCCTATGTTAAATTTGGTTAGTGGAGCATGCCTCATATTACTGTTTTGGTATATCATGGAAGCAATAAGGACTGAAGTGGCGATGAAGAAAGGGACAGCTCAACAGCCACAACATTTTTTGAAAGAGGATATATTGTAGATAAACAAGGTAAAAAAGATGCCGGTGGTGTGATGGTACTTTTTGCAGTTTCAAGTCCGACATGTTATAAATGCATGCTTAGATTATCCAGAAACATTTCCCCTGACTCTTCACATGTTCTGCATAAAGAATATCAACTACTGCCCTCAGGCAGACATTTCAGAGTTCCTTCTTTCAAACCTATTCAGTTTAAAAAACCTTTTGTATTCCAATCTATCCTATTGTTGAATCAGTTATGGTAAAATCCAGTGCAATGGGGTGCATGTTATGGGTATTTGTATTTGTATGCCATGGGTTTGTCATGAGTTTTTACATGTATGATTATGTCTTTGTCATAAACGAGCCACCCAGGGATGCAATAAGAATTTCAGTCTATGACTGACAATAAAGTTGTATCGTATAGTATAAGCATATGCTGAATTTATACAGATTCATAATATTCCTAATTAGGCGCACTGTTAATCTGCTTACCAAATTGTGGGCGTAAGTAAACATGGTAGTACCGAAAAGCTGGCATCCGGACAAATGTTTTGTTCAACTCTAAAGCCCAGGTAATTAATTATGGCGCATGTGCCATACAATTGCGATGTGATATCACGCAGCCCTAGTGATATGACAATTTGATCACTGCCTGCCCCTAGTGGTAAACCTTCCAGTCATTGTCTTTGCATGGGGCTATACTCTGTTGGGAGATGCTGGGCTTTATATTTCTGCAGCTTACTTGCCTGTTGCCTGCTGTTTCTAACTTATCTGTATGTTTTCCCCTCTGTTCTCCACACTCCTCCCTTTCAATAGGGTCTGTATCAGGTACTGTATTTATTATCTATAATCATAAATGTCATACCTCAACAGAGGAAACTGTCAAGTGTTGTTATATTCAGCCTCAGTCAGATGTAAAAAGAAGTGAGAAGCTATTGTGCAATACTCCATTGCTTCTGCTTTTTGTCAGATGGCTGCCATTCTTTCTGTCAGATGGCTGCCATTCTCTTTCTGTGACTCCTCTACCTTCTGCTGTTTGTTTTATGTATCCTGTGTTCCTCCTCGTTGTTTTCAGTCTGCTGGTGCTCGTGGTTTTGAACATGCTGCTGTTCTACAAGCTGTGGTCTCTGGAGCATGCGGCATACACTCTGGAAACCTGGCACTCCTACTCCCACACAGACAGGTAGCAGCACAGTATTAACAACTTTTGTCCCAAAAGATAAATACACTTGAGTGTGTTTTGTGATGTCTATTGCTGTGTTCCATTTGAACTTACCTATTTTTCAAAATTTCAACTGGAACACCCCCTGAAGTCAGAATTTCCACTTATGATCTCTGAGCTCAAAATTCAAGATGTCTGCGCCCTTTATCAGCAGAAATTAAAGCTGAAGTTTTATACTGTTTATTAGCACTTACACCTTATTTGTGGCTCATTATATCTGTCATACTTACAGTACTGTCCAACTGCTATCTGTGGGCGTGTTGTTATGGTGTTCTTCAGTTGATGAGGTTTATTGCACCTTGAACTCTCAGATGAAGCACAGTGCTGTGTGTGCAGGCTGTAAATGTTTGCAGTAATGAAGTGAGGGTGTCTTCCTCATGTTGCAGTCCCCTGCCCCAAACTGTAGAGGAGTGGACACAGGTTATTCAGATGCACAGGCAGTTTCACCAGGCCCAACTGAATAAGTGGCAGCAAATTCTGAAATCGTCCGTCGCCATGCTGGACCAGGTAGACGTCCCATGTCCTTTTTTTCTGTCTATGTTGGTCCTTCCATGTAGTTTGTGGATTCTTATGAAGCTTTTTCACTGCCACCAAGAACCAAGCCATACTGTGAACTGGCGGTTTTCCATGGTAAAGAATGTGAGCTGTACCTGAGTCATAACCATGCTGACATGGCCAAAAACATGACCAAACTGAGCTGCTTCTTTCACCACCATCTGATAGGTCAGAATGCTTGGAGATACTGGTGTTCTGCGCATGGATTAAAGGAAAAAGCGTATATTCGGAATTCTATATTTTATTAATTATTAGTAACATCGCCCATCAAGATCCGTTCCTGGAACTTGAAAATTTCTTAACTCCTACTTAAAAAAATACTATAGAACAGCTGAACGTAATGGATTTGTAATGCAAATTTACATGAGCAAATGCTAGTTCCACTAACGTTTGATATTTGCATAGTTTGGCGATTCTCACAGTCATGCTAGTGGGAATTAGCACATAGTAAAAAAAAAATAAAAAATACTTATTGCACATAGTAAATCATGATACACCATGTGAACAGTAAATAAATGTTTCTTCAGTTTCACATCACTGTCACTCTGCAAACACTGTAACACCCTTACTGAGCCGACCCTTCTGCAGTGGAAAACCAAAGAGAGCTGGAACCATGCTGTATCTAGTCTCTCCGCAGTTCAGCTCTGGTTTTGGTCAGTTCCTGTATGCCAGTGGAAAAGCTCTAATATTTTCTTGTTTGGGGTGAGTGTTGTACTATGGGTTTTGTTTTGGTGAGTATTCCTTGTATGTGCAAACCCACTGAAATGTGACGTCTTGTAAATAGTTGAATTTTTCAGTAATAAAAATTGTAATACAAACTCTCTTACTACCATGACATATGGTAGGTACTATGGTTTACAGATGTACACTGCTCAAAAAAATAAAAGGGAACACTTTTTAATCAGAGTATAACATCAAGTCAGTTTAACTTCTGGGATATTGATCTGGTTAGTTAAGTAGCAGAGGGGGTTGTTAATCAGTTTCAGCTGCTTTGGTGTTAATGAAATTGCACTAGAGGGGCAACAATGAGACGACCACTAAAACAGGAATGATTTAACAGGTGGAGGCAACTGACATTTTGCCTGCCTCGTCTTTTCTGTTTTTTCACTAGTTTTGCATTTGGCTACAGTCAGTGACATAGAGGTGATACCTGGACCCTACAGAGGTTGCATGGGTAGTCAAACTCCTCCAGGATGGCGCATCAATACGTGCCATTGCCAGAAGGTTTGCTGTGTCTCCCAGCACAGTCATGGAGGAGGGTTCAGGAGACAGGCAGTTACTCTAGGAGAGCTGGACAGGGCCATAGAAGGTCCTTAACCCATCAGCAGAACCGGTATCATCTGCTTCGTGCAAGGATGAACAGGATGTGCACTGCCAGAGCCCTACGAAATGACCTCCAGCAGGCCACTGGTATGACTGTCTCTGAGCAAACAGACTTCATGAGGATGGCCTAAGGGGCCTCTAGTGGGCCCTGTGCTCAATGCCCAGCATTGTGGAGCTCGATTGGCATTTGCCATAGAATACCAGAATTGGCAGGTCTGCCACTGGCACCCTTTGCTTTTCACAGATGACAGCAGGTTCACCCTGAACACATGTGACAGATGTGAAAGGATCTGAAGAAGCCATGGAAAACCTTATGCTGCCTGTAACATTGTTCAGCATGACCGGTTTAGTGGTGGGTCAGTGATGGTCTGGGGAGGCATATGCATGGAGGGAGCACAGATCTCTACTGGCTATACAACGGCACCTTTTTTCTTCCCATTGAGATCTGATGTGTTTTCAAAGTGTTCCTTTAATTTTTTGAGCAGTATATTTTGGATTTAATTGCTTAACTAATTCTTTTAGACTAAACTGTTTTACACATTTATGTGGTTTAATTCTAGAATAGCACTTGAATTAATGTCCTTAGTCACTATGCAGTAAGGTTTATTAATGTAAATTTCAACCTCTCAAATCATTCAAAAATAAGTATGACTTGTGTAGAATAACTCCCGCATCACAATTTTATCGTTGATGATGTGTGAGAGTGAAAGGATGAACAAGAGGTTTCATAGACAAGATCAAATTCTTTGCTTGTTGGTGCAAAAACTACTAGTGCAGATTATACACCACAACGATATGCTAAGAAAACTGCAAAACAAGAAATATGAGAGATCTACAAATATCCACACAAATTTGAATAGCCTATAACCCTTGTATGCAGTGCTCCAGATCAGTAATTATGATTATGATAATAGAACAGAAGAAGATAACTGAATCAAAATATAATTTGTGTTAGTTTTAAACCAGCCTAACTAATTAAATCATATCTGAGTGAGCAATGCCACACTTTGAAGCAATATGCAACATATAAGTCTCAATTAGCTCCATTTTTTATTCAATGTCAGAACAATTTCTGAAGTAATATCTTGTATCAGAAAACAATGTTTTCCATGTTTGGGAGACTGATCTATTTCCCTGTCCTCCTTTTCCCTGTCCATCTGCAGATGAAACACTCTCTGGAGAAGCTGCAGAGAGGAATTGTCACTCCTGAAGTAGGACAGGCCTCCCCCTCAGAGCCGCCCACAGACTAATCCTCTCAGCAGCAAGCCTGTCTGCTGCAAACTGCACGTCGAGGACTCCCCATTTTGCTGCGTGTGAGTAGTTATTCTCCATGGGAAGAGTTCTGGAAAACCCAGACTTACAAAAAAGGCAGTGCAATAGTAACAGGAGTGCAGGATGTTCAGGCAAGCCAACAATGACCCCCATGTTTACCCACAGCACCTCTGGCCTAGGGCCTAAATTCCTGGTTCATTGTGCTCCAGCATAAAACATGATTTAGCACCATCTGGTTGGCTATGCTTAAAAGCGACACATGGTAGGTTTTCACACCAATTTGTGAGCATCTTAAAGAAGGTGCTGTTTCTCAAGAAAGGAAATGAGATGTGTATAGGACACCAACACAACATATGCGCACCTGGCAGCCTGCTTCTCCTGCCACTTTATTGCAGTCAAACCTGTGTCTTGCCCTGCTAATATTCAATTGTCAATCTATGCCCAAGTGAACTTTTCTACGTTAAAGATGAAACCGCTCCTCGTTTTCTGTGCATCCAATCTTAAATTATCATTTCATGGGTTCTGAAAGGGGGAATATGGTGAACTGATGCACGTTAGTCACAGTATTTATTACTGACTAAAAAGTAATTTTGTCTCCTCTAATCATGGACCAAGAAAGGGTGAAATAATTTGAACTTGATGTCTATTGTAACAACAATGATAATGGTTTGAAATGAAAAAGAAAATAGTTGTGCTGCAAGAGAGAAGCAAGTGTATTTGAACAACACTAGTTATTTTTATTATGGTTTCTTATTTTAAACCTTATCTGTTAATTTTCATTGCATCTTCATGTATCTTAACTATATGTATAAATATTTTGTTGATAGGATATGTAAGATCTTTGATTTGCATGCCTTTTTTCCCCTGTTAGTTCTGGGAAACAAATCCCTTAGTCTAACAATGTGTTTATGTAACTGGATTATGGAACTGATTAGGACTTTTAGGGGTCTTAGCCCAAAGGAAGAACCAGAAATTTTGCAGTATTATGTCCATCTCCTGCCCCACCCTGGGTTGTGCCTGTAGCCTCTGGGATAAGCTCCGGACTCTCCATGACCCTGAATAGGACGAGCAGTTTCAGAAAATGGATGGATGAATATCTGTCTCCCATCAGCTCTCTCTCCTCTTCCCTCCATGGCACTATCTCTTGCCTTCTGGTGCATCTGTTGCAAAAGTGTCAGGGCCTTGCTGTGCATGGCTCTCAGGAAGTGATGAAATGATGTATTGTAGACATCACTTGGATGTATTTACTGTATAATTGAATTGCATATTTAATTGTTTCATGAGGATTAAGTATAAATAACTTCTACTGTGCAGCTTTTTTGTCATTTCTGGGGTGGTGTTTCATTGTGGTGCATTTGGGATGAAGGGCCACACAGGAGTCTGAAGAGTGGAAACAAATGTCCAACTGAAGTCATCCTCACATGAATCTCCCTCCCTCTCTTTGACACTTTGGTGTCACAATGCATAGATATCTTAATTACATTAAAAATAACATCATATGCCCCTAACTTAACGATGGTTTTACTTTACAATGGTGTGATACTGATGTACATTCAGTAGTCATCAAACAATGAATTTTTTCCTGATCCTGGGCTAGCAATACACTGTATGGTATTTTCACATTATGATGGATTCATTGGACCGCAACCCCATCAAGTCGAGGAGTAGCTGCATTGTTGATACGAACATATTTCACAGTACATTAAATCCATAAAAAATAAAAATTAAAGTTTCTGGTGTAATTATTACAATTTAACTTGAGTCCCAGGTAAACGGAGGTTTTATTGTTTTAATAGCATGTCTATTTCTTATACGTATGATCTCAAGGACATGGCTAAGCTACAGCACTCATCTAAAACCTTGAGCATGCCTTAACACTGTATTCATACTGTGTACCAGTATGAATAATGTACATAAACATAAATGCTAACTGGAGTAGGAAAATATAACAACCTGCATCACCTAATCATTCTGGGATCTTTTTCCCCCATCAAGATGTCATGTCAAAAAACCCTTTTATTCTGAAAATGAAAGCATATCGGTAGCTTACTACTGTTATGCTCATCCTTATCCTTCAACAAATAAAGTGTTACAATGAAACAGTGAATTTTGTGCAGAACAATTGACATTACCTTGAAAATGCAACAAAAATGTAATTAAAAGCCCTTCAGTTTGTGGCAGAATGCACGCAAGGGACATGTACATGTGACATGCCCATATTTTGGTGTTTCTCCCCCCAAAGTGTATATCTAATCTAAACATGCATAAACCCCAGACTTAAGTGCATGGGAGAATTGACTTTAAATGTTCTTACTCTTATACTTGATCTACCAATAGTCGAATGATTAATTTGTACCAGTTTGCAATTGTTTGAAAACCCATTGCACTGAAACTGGTGGCATTATAAGAGTAATATTAACAGTAGTGTTTTTCTCAGGTGCCAGTAACTTCAAAAAGCAGAAGTTAAGAAATGTCTTCTAAAACCAAATACTTTTTCTGTTACTATATACTAATCAAAACATATATAATGTAGTTTGTCAGGTTTTATGTCAGGTTTTTTGTTATGGCTATCAAATAAAATCACAATCATTCATGTACCATACTTGTATTTCTTTATTTATAAAGACTTAAGAGCACACAAAATTTTATGGTATTGCATTCACGTGTTAAATTTCTACTGTCAGTATTAGATTTTTACTATGTGAAAATATGGCAAAATTATTAAATAAGGAATGCTTTATCATGGTTAAGCTGAACACTAATATACTGTCTGTATAAAATCATTTGTCAAACCTGATGGTGTTTATCATTTATTTCATGTATATTTAAATGAGGCATACACTTAACTGCTTGGGTTTCAAAATAAATTTGTCAGTTGCAAGGTATCTGAATTCCATGAAAAAAAGATTTGCAGTTTCACGAATGAACTGGTGACAATGTTGGTAAAATTCCTAGTAAAGTCCTATATATTTTGCGAATTATAAATGTTTTTTTAATACAGACTCCAGTCTCAAAATACATGCACGTTAAACTGTATTTAGTATATTTTAATTGCACTGGGTGGTAGAAATTAAAATATGTGATGTACAAATTTACATATAGTGTATGCATATGCAGTGTTGGCTTTGTACAGTTTAATAAATAAATACTTTGTAACATAGTTCTATAGGTATTATAGAAGCTGGACTGAGGTAGAACCCTTTTTCTTCTGGGAGTTCTGAACAGTAGAGGTATACAAAACTATAACAATCAACATAGTTTCAGCATTTTTACATGCCATCTGCTAACAATTCAATCTCGGAAGATTTTAGAAAGTTCAGAGAAATCTGAGAAATTTCTATCAAATTTCAAATTAATAATGCAGGAAAAAAATACATTTTTGTCAACAAAGACTTTACATATGTTAGTATCCTTATCGGTACCTTAATCACATGCATTGCTTTATAGAGATAAATATAATTCGGTAAATATAATATACACTCACCTAAAGGATTATTAGGAACACCATACTAATACGGTGTTTGACCCCCTTTCGCCATCAGAACTGCCTTAATTCTACGTGGCATTGATTCAACAAGGTACTGAAAGCATTCTTTAGAAATGTTGGCCCATATTGATAGGATAGCATCTTGCAGTTGATGGAGATTTGTGGGATGCACATCCAGGGTACGAAGCTCCCGTTCCACCACATCCCAAAGATGCTCTATTGGGTTGAGATCTGGTGACTGTGGGGGCCATTGTAGTACAGTGAACTCATTGTCATGTTCAAGAAACCAATTTGAGCTTTGTGACAAGGTGCATTATCCTGCTGGAAGTAGCCATCAGAGGCTGGGTACATGGTGGTCATAAAGGGATGGACATGGTCAGAAACAATGCTCAGGTAGGCCGTGGCATTTAAACGATGCCCAATTGGCACTAAGGGGCCTAAAGTGTGCCAAGAAAACATCCCCACACCATTACACCACCACCACCAGCCTGCACAGTGGTAACAAGGCATGATGGATCCATGTTCTCATTCTGTTTACGCCAAATTCTGACTCTACCATTTGAATGTCTCAACAGAAATCGAGACTCATCAGACCAGGCAACATTTTTCCAGACTTCAACTGTCCAATTTTGGTGAGCTCGTGCAAATTGTAGCCTCTTTTTCCTATTTGTAGTGGAGATGAGTGGTACCCGGTGGGGTCTTCTGCTGTTGTAGCCCATCCGCCTCAAGGTTGTGCATGTTGTGGCTTCACAAATGCTTTGCTGCATACCTCAGTTGTAACGAGTGGTTATTTCAGTCAAAGTTGCTCTTCTATCAGCTTGAATCAGTCGGCCCATTCTCCTCTGACCTCTAGCATCAACAAGGCATTTTCGCCCACAGGACTGCCGCATACTGGATGTTTTTCCCTTTGCACACCATTCTTTGTAAACCCTAGAAATGGTTGTGCGTCAAAATCCCAGTAACTGAGCAGATTGTGAAATACTCAGATGGGCCCATCTGGCACCAACAACCATGCCACGCTCAAAATTGCTTAAATCACCTTTCTTTCCCATTCTGACATTCAGTTTGGAGTTCAGGAGATTGTCTTGACCAGGACCACACCCCTAAATGCATTGAAGCAACTGCCATGTGATTGGTTGATTAGATAATTGCATTAATGAGAAATTGAACAGGTGTTCCTAATAATCCTTTAGGTGAGTGTATAAAGCCCATTGCCTCTAGACTACATGAACAGTCATTTCAGCAGTTTTACTGATGATACTCCCTTAATGATCTTTAGGATTGTACATATTTATATACATATCAATATGCCCATTATTTTGGTTTAAGAATCAATCTGTACTAGTTACTTTTTCATACATTTATATAACACCCATCACCCACACCATATTTAATACTAAAATACAAAAAAATTAAGTCTTCAATTTTCTTCACATTAAAATAGTCCTAATGTACATACAGGTTTGTCATAGATTTTTTTTGTTGATGTAAAACTAAAAATATGATGGACATATTTCAAGGAATTAACTTGTCGTTAATGCTTTATGTAACAACACATCAATGTTGTTGATCACAGATTACAAAAATAAAACGTTAGCAAAGTACTCTGTATTGTATCCTGGGATGTTTCCAGAGCAAGGTAGCATAGATAAGGAAAAGAAAAAGCCACGCATGTTACCTGTGCTATTCTGCCACCTGCACTCCAGCACAGTTATCTTTACTCTCTGAAGCTATAGCTAGATATTCAGCCCTGAAGAGGAAAAGCAGAAAGGCAGAGGTTAGCACTGAGCAAGAATGAGTATGGCAGGCAAAATGGTAGCCCTAAAGGCTAAATTATACATCTGTGTAGAATCTATGCTGTAGGCTGTCATGTATCTGTGTACTCCACACCGTAGCCTGATGTGCACCTCCCCAGAAATGTAACTACAATCGTCATGTTATGGCATAGTAAACTTTGCAGGCTACAAGGCTATGAAACACTCTAAGCATAGATTCTATGCAGAAGTATAAATCAGCCTTTAGGCATATGAAGCTGACTGCAGAAGCTGAAGATGACCGATGACACTATTAGTGTCATGGTAACTGGGAGACATTGAAGAAGGAGGAAATGATGAGCTTTTTGTCTGTGTAAGAATAAGAAAATGGAGAACCATGTGGGATGTACTCACGCGCTCTCTCGAAGTGCCTCCTCACCAGCTGCTGCTATCTTCCGGTAGCAGTAGACCATCTCCACCACCAACCACAGCTGTAGTCCAATAATAGACACATACATCATCACCTCTGACAAAATGGACGCCATCCCTCTGGTGGCTGGAGGTAGGAACAAGGGAAAGAAAAACAGCAGCAATTCATATGTAATATTTTTTTTTATGTAGCAGGCAGAATTGCCATAAACATTGCATCTTACCTTATTCTTGCCGCCCTGTTTTAGAGTGAGACAGAAAAATGTAGTATTCTTTAACTCTTAAATATTTAAATGTGGATTGGTCAGGTTCAGAAAGTAAATATCCAAAGATTTTGTTTTAACCAACCAATTAAGCATGAAGAGTGACAGTTACTCAGCTGGTCAGATGAAACAAAATCTTGGTCTGGATTTTTATTTTCTGGGCCAGACCTATCCACCTCTGTAAATATTACTTGTTTCAGTATAGAAAATCAAATATGCTCTGCCATACAATTGAGCAATATACATTTAATCCATCCATCCATCCATCCATTAGCTTCCGCTTATCCGAGGTCGGGTCACGGGGGCAGCAGTCTCAGTAGGGGAACCCAGACTTCCCTCTCCCCGGCCACTTCTTCCAGCTCCTCTGGGAGTCCCGAGGCATTCCCAGGCCAGCCGAGAGACATAGTCCCTTCAGCGTGTCCTAGGTCTTCCCCGGGGCCTCCTTCCAGTGGGACATGCCCGGAACACCTCACCAGGGAGGCGTCCAGGAGGCATCCTAAGCAGATGCCCGAGCCACCTCATCTGGCTCCTCTCAATGCGGAGGAGCAGCGGCTCTACTCTGAGTCTCTCCCGAATGACCGAGCTCCTCACTCTATCTCTAAGGGAGAACCCAGCCACCCTGCGGAGAAAACTAATTTCGGCCGCTTGCACTCGCGATCTCGTTCTTTCAGTCACTACCCACAGCTCGTGATTATAGGTGAGGGTAGGAACGTATATCGACTGGTAAATCGAGAGCTTTGCCTTTTGGCTCAGCTCCTTCTTCACCACGACAGACTGATGCAACGCCCGCATCACTGCTGACGCTGCACCGATCCGCCTGTCGATCTCCCGTTCCATCCTTCCCTCACTCGTGAAACAAGACCCCAAGATACTTAAAGTCCTCCACTTGGGGAAGGACCTCCTCCCTGACCCGGAGAGAGCACTCCACCCTTTTCCGGCTGAGGATCATGGTCTCAGATTTGGAGGTGCTGATTTTCATTCCAGCCGCTTCACACTCGGCTGCGAACTGCTCCAGTGAGAGCCGAAGGTCACGGTCAGATGAGGCCAACAGAACCACATCATCTGAAAAAAGCAGAGACCTAATCCTGAGGTCACCAAACCAGACACCCTCAACGCCCTGGCTGCGCCTAGAAATTCTGTCCATAAAAGTTATGAACAGAATCTGTGATAAGGGGCAGCTCTGGCGGAGTCCAACCCTCACCGGGAACGAGTCCGAACTTACTGCCGGCAATGCAGACCAAGCTCTGACACTGGTTGTACAGGGACCGAACAGCCCTTATAAGGCAGCCCGGCACCCCATACTCCCGGAGAACTCCCCACAGGACTCCCCGAGGGACGCGGTCGAATGCCTTCTCCAAGTCCACAAAGCGCATGTAGACTGGTTGGGCAAACTCCCACACACCCTCAAGGACCCTGCCGAGAGTATAGAGCTGGTCCACTGTTCCACGGCCAGGGCAAAAACCACACTGCTCCTCCTGAATGCGAGGTTCGACTATCCGACGGACCCTCTTCTCCAGCACCCCCGAATAGACCTTACCAGGGAGGCTGAGGAGTGTGATCCCCCTATAGTTGGAACACACCCTCCGGTCCCCCTTCTTGAAGAGTGGGACCACCACCCCGGTCTGCCAATCCAGAGGCACCGCCCTCGATGTCCACGTGATGCCGCAGATGCGTGTCAACCAAGACAGCCCCGCAACATCCAGAGCCTTGAGGAACTCCGGGCGGATCTCATCCACCCCCGGGGCCCGGCCACTGAGGAGCTTTTTAACTCTCTGGGGTCGAGTATGTCGTCGGCGACATCGCG